TCTTCATGTTGACATTCAGACTAAAATCACGTGACAGGTTGTTAAAATTGGCTGTTGCATACTCTTTCGCCGGTCTGGAAAATGTGTTTAATTAACTCACATTCAAGCAACAATGCAGATTTCCCAGTGGGAGTGAGACTATTCAAACTCTGCCACTAAAAAATAGGGGTGTTTTCAGCAAAAAACAAATAACCCTGGAATACACACAATATACTGAATTTCGGAACAAATCGTGCATTACTTACAGCAGCAGAATACCACAGAAATATCAGACGAAACATGAAAACACTATATATTGTATTTCAGCCTGAACCCTCTATATTGCAATTCAAGGAATTAACCCCATATGTGCATCCATTTCCCACCTTGGTATCACCCACCCCTGAAAACAAACTCTTAATACCAAGTACAATAACATCAAACGTATGAAAAATGTTAATTCATCCTAAAAGGCGGCAGTCGTCACGCCGCGTCCTGTTCGATATGGGACTCATAGCGACGTATACAACGCGTGTAAAATACATTGTTTTGTTTTTTTACATGAAATTCGAACACGCGCTGCGCGACGACCACCGCGCTTTAATATACTAGTATTTCTTGTGTACAGAAGTATGTATATCTATTCATTCACCATGATAACTCGTATGTCAGACATGAGATATTATAAAATAATGCATACATGTTTTGTGAGTTCGATAATTAATTTGAAAGTCAGCCCTTCCTTCGTCATGCCATTGTATACTCCACGGTGCTGGCGCATTCATTTAGCCGACTTTATAATTAAGACAAAATAGGTAACACACCAGAAATCCCGCAAAACGAAAACCACTACTACGACAATGGTGAAAAGGAGTTTTATAGGACTGACTGGATGTCAAGAATAAGTGGTGATACCAGTATTGCTGCACTGTCCATACCAGGTACTCATCAGACGATGACTAGACACGGAGGTATATCAGCGTCTAAGTCGGAGCCTACGTGCCCAACTCAGGCTGAATGCTGGTATAAGGTGGTTTGACATTCGGTGTAGGCACTATGAGAACGATCTCCCATTACGCCATGGAATGGTTTACCAACATGCAAACTTGGGCGACGTGTTCTGGACCTGTCTCAGTTTTCTAAAAGACAACAGCAATGAAACGGTAGTATTGAGACTCAAGCAAAAATTGAGGGCATGGCGGATGAGGGCGTGATTTCGTGAGCTCAGAATGTAAGCGCAACTGCTGTAATCCTTCCGCAAACACGAATAAGTAAATAATTCCGCGTGCGCCGAGATCCCGTAACCTGAACGTAGCAATTATCATCTAGCGGGTTCAAGACAAAGAAAATCGTGTTCGCAAATTTAGAACGTCACTGCGGACAGCACGACTGCACGAGCCAGAAATACCCCTAGTTGTTTGAAATGAAATTCAATATGTTAGCATTTTTCACTGACCCGAGTCAGATACGGTGTATCTGTTTCAAAACGTTGAAGCATATAGTTAGTAGACATCCAACAACCATCTAATCGTAAAAGAACGATCTCGGGCTCAATCTCAGTGATTATCCGATCGCAGACTTGAAATTGAATGATATATAATTCCACCATTCCACAAACACTTTATTTTTTCAAAATGGAATTATTTTGTCCATGTTTATTTCATTTATGCACGAAATGTGTGATAATGTAGTATTGTGGTGATAATATAGAAGGAAAACGTATTATCGTGGGATAATACAACACTGGGGAAATATCCATTTAGCTAATGGAATTGAAATACTGTGTGGTATATTGAAATGCTCAAACGATATCAATGCATTGTATTATATATATTTTATAGCTTGTCAAATAAGGTAAATACTGGAGTTGGTAGTTAGTTCTTGCTATGACATGGGCGAATTTTATTTAACACCACCCACGAAAAACCTGAGTGCGTATGGTTTCAGGGAAGACTGTGTGAATAAACAGGTTTTCATTTTTGTATTGCCAAAATACATTATTAATATATTAATACAGAAATACAACAAAAATAAATACACGTTATAATAAGGACGAAAATGTAAATGTAACAGCGAGTAGATCAATGCTGTCACTTTCAGTCGAACGAGCCGAAACCCACTCGGAGTGGATGGTAAATTCTCTAAACATCTGCCGTTCTATCGTTTATACAGTTATAGTCATGTGATCACACGTATACGCTGAGATGATCATATGATAGGTCACCTGGTCACTGTGACCTCTTTATAATGGAAAGAACGTGAATGGCTCGAGCAACGTGACCGTCCCTCAACACCTTGAGGGACGGTGGCTCGAGCTAGGTTTTGCTGAGCATGTTCTATGACTGAGTAATATTATAAATAAATAAATAAATAAATAAATAAATAAATAAATAAATAAATAAATAAATAAATAAATAAATAAATAAATAAATAAATAAATAAATAAATAAATAAATAAATAAATAAATAAATAAATGTACACAAAGAACACAACTGTTGCCTTCTGGTATGATATAGTGTTGATTATATTGAGCACTTCCTCTTCTATCCCTAGTGGATAGATAACCGAATGAGAATCACCCGTAGAGTCAGCACCAAATGTTTGTATAAATCACTCCATTGAAAAACCTGTTCAAACTATGAACAAACAACTAATAAGAACAAGGCAAGGCAAGACGAAGCGTATGTATTTATGTATGTAGTTTACAATAATAAGTATATGGGATGTCAGTTAAATAAATAAATTAATTAATCAATGAAAAATTAATTAATTTATTTATTTGATCTAATTAATTAAGTGGGTTTGTTTTTAAGTCTTTAAGGCTTTCTTTTATAAACGTTCCTTTGCTAGATCAAATTTTAATTAATTAATTATAACGCTCGGTTATATCAAAATGAGATTGCCATTGTTTCCACCTGTCAAATGAACAACGTTACTAGGTTCTTCCAACAAATATGTTCGTATTCGAGCGTCCCGGCCAGTTACGGACATTTATAAGTCTATTATCAAGCTATCAGTCGCAGCAAATATCATCGCCAGCATAAACCACATATTCCCACAGGGGTGCGTATTTTGTTTTCAACACCACAATGACTGTGTCGACCGGATGCCTGGTGTGGTTGTCAACATAACGTGAACTTCATACATACATATATCGCCAAATCCTGTACTGACGGTACATTGAACAGCAATTCATATATAGCAAACTACAAACGATTATAATGTAATGACAGTATAATTTGCTTAGTAAATATCACCAACAACAATTGACGACTTATAATGTTATGATAGCAAAATGAACAGCAATCTAAATTTTATATAAACCACTTACTGACGAGTTATAATGTAATGATAATGAATTGAACAGCAATTTATGTTTGTATTCGTCAACAAATGAATTTCTCCAGTTGTCAGTGCCATATGAATGTTGTAATAAATGATTCACTTTGTTAACCCTATACGTCCTGACTATTCAAACAGTGCAATCGTTAAATAAACAGTCATTATTAGTTAGGTCAACTTTCTGACCAGCTTCATGAGTGTACATACGTAAGCGATAACAACACCCATTTGAGCCGGGGACATGGAAAAACCAAAAGCTGGGTGTTTTGTGTCCCGATTTGTGGGTATCGTGATTATCGTGACCGTGGCATTGTTAATAACTGGCGCCGTGCTCATCGCATATTACGTACCGCAGTGTGACGAAGTGGAGCCGGCCGAACGGTCCGTGGGATTACCGCCAGAACCAGATATACCAGAGGAATCGTTGGAACCGTTCTATGGACGACTGCCAGATACATTGTTGCCGGTACATTACAACTTGTATATAAAAACGTATTTGGACGATGAGGATGGACCTGACTTGCAATATACTTTTTCTGGAACCGTAGAAATACTGATAAATTGTTTAAAATCGACTGACGTTATCACTTTGCACGCCCATGAGAGCGTAACTGTGATTTCGGCGACGCTGACACCGGAGGACGGAGGCGATCCTACAGATGATATCGACATTCAACGAGAATACGAATTTGCTTTTGTGCATTTTAATTTACAGTCCAGCATGATAGAAGGCCATAATTACGTATTGTATGTTACATATACGGGGTCGCTAAAACAAAGTCCTCCTGTCGGTTACTACTACAGTGACTACGTCGTAAATGGTACAAACAGGTATGTTCTGCAAACCACGGTGAGGAATCACCAGTCTCGTAGGATTGTGTGCAAATCTTGTATATCTACTAATTAAATATGACTGTCATAAAAATCGACCACAGTTCGCTTCAGTTTGCCGAGCAAAGGTACACATGATCTTAACCTGAAATAGAACATTTTCCGCTATTATAACATGGCGTTACATGTTGAGACAATCAGTGGCAAGCATTGAATAGAGGGTGGATCATAGCTGAATGCGAGTTTATGTATTATTACGCAATGGAACTAGTAGACAATCTTTCCGGGTTGTGTTCTACGTGATATGGAAGACATACATTTTGTTTTGCAATTGTTCCATAACTATTGTTTTCCGGCAATCATGATGAGTGCTCCGGTAGTTTATTGTGTTGTCCCTAATGAATGTGGACAACGCCCGGTTTACACCGGTTTCTCATTAAATGCGATTATTGTTTACCGACGTTCTACACTTGGTAAACGAGATACACTGATCATTTTTATCTTTTATTTAAAATTCAGACCTTCAGTAGCATAATTTAAAACAGAACTTTTCAATTATAATTACAGACGATTGGCGAGTACACAGTTGGGACTGACGTACGCACGTAGAGCGTTCCCGTGCTTCGATGAGCCAGACATGAAAGCCACTTTTGACGTTGCGATGGAGTATCGTAACACAAGACTGGCGTTGTGCAATATGCCTATTATTAGCACCACGGAGACTAGCGACGGATGGGAGAAGACTACGTTTGAGAGAACGCCAACGATGTCGACCTATTTAATAGCGTTTATCGTGGCCGACTACGTAAACGTCACAGATTACACGAAGAGGGGGACACCGGTGAGTTATCGATATACTGTATAGAGAAAAAATCATGTATATATAATATATAATATAATATTGATAATTATATATAAATGACAAAACACATGCCCCGTTTTAGAAAAACATAAACAATATGTACAAATAATACGAGCGTATGGAAGACCCATCAAAGTGATGTTGCGGGTTAGAGTTGATCATCATTTACTTGGTGATTTCCTGTTGCTTAGTTACGAAATACAGCTGTTATAATAATGATGTATTATTGTGATGAATATCAATTAAATCAAGTAGAAATGCAACACTCGTTTAAACATAGTGCGCCTCTTTACCGTGATGGAGCATGTTCGTTTTATATGGCGTAATTCACTCAGTGTATTGCATTGCGTTCTATAATTTCCCGATACACGCTCACAAAAACACTGGTCAGTATGATTTCTGTTTACCATAGGTGAGTGTATGGGGTTCGAAGGAACACATGGACATTCTTCAGTACTCATTGGATATGGCCACCAAACAGCTGCAAATATTTGAAGAGATATTAGATGTGCCGTACGACCTTCCAAAGTTAGGTGAGCTAAAGGTCCAGTTTTACCCACATGTGGTTGTAATTTTCTGGCCTGATAGCGAGATTAATCAATTTAATGTTTTAATAGAGCACCATGCCTTTGATCTAATTTACTCGCATTTCCAGTCACAAACAACAAGATGGGTGATATTTGTCTTGGGTCTGCAATCCTACAGACAGACCCTAGTGGCAATGACGTTCTCAGATGTAAATCCTATTGTCAGATCCCACTGCCGACGATGTCCCCAAACGCACAACCCCATACTGTAGTCAGATGGCCTTTAGTGACGACGTCCCCAGACGTATATCTAATAGTCAGATCCCACTGGCGACGATGTCCCTCATCATACAATCGTAGAGTCAGCTTGCCCTTAGTGCTTATGTCCTCAGGCGTGTAATCTCAGAAGCACACCCCCCTTGATGATGTCCTAGGCGCGATTCCCAAAGACAGATCATCTTGCAGCTCTGTGTCAATTGATTTAAAGTGCCCTTTGTCGCGAGCCGCTAAATACGAAACAATGTTTTTTCTATGCATATTGAACACGATGAGCTCATACTAACATATGTATGTTTCTGTCTGTAGATCACATTGCCATACCGAAATTTTATTTTGGTGGGATGGAAAACTGGGGTATTATAATGTACAGAGATAGCCGCATTACGTACGATTCAGCCTCAGACCCGCCTTCTAAAATGCAGAATGTTAATTCATTGGTGTCCCACGAGACCGCGCATATGGTAAGCTAACCCACTAAATATAATGTTTTACACTTTGAATGTTAAAGTAAACTGTTATCACCCTTCAATAACCAAACCGGTATAAATCGGCGCATACGCCGAATACATTCGTGCATTTAGTTGTTCTTGTGAAATCGTTTTGTGATTACTATAGAAACTGATGAATGTTGTGTAGATGTGGTCTACAAGGTTCGAGAATTCTATTCAGAAAGCACTGAAATTAATGATAATACCTTATAAGTACATTATCTAAGAATCTTACGCATTCTTCAATTCTATAACAGTGGTTTGGCGATTTAGTCACGTGCCAATGGTGGAATCATACCTGGCTGAACGAAGGTATCACGAGTTTCGTTGAATATATCGGCACGCACAGAACCGAACCAGATTGGCAAGTGGTAAGGGCATACTACCGACAGTGTTGTCTGCAACGAACATATTTATTTATTTAACTGACATTCAATATACTTATTATTGGAAACTATATAAATACATACGCTTCGCCTCGCTGGGATTACTGTCTCGTTCTTATTAGTTGTTTGTTCGTAGTTTGAACAGGTTTTTCAATGGAGTGATTTATACAAAGCATTTGGTGCTGACTCTACGGGCGATTCCCATCCGGTTATCTATCCAGTAGGAACAGAAGAGGAAGTGCTCAATATATTCGACACTATATCATATCAGAAGGTAACAGTTGTGTACATTTATTTTTGATAAACCTTTGATGTTTACCGACACGAAGGTTTTAATGAGAGACCAGGTCCATGGTCGGCTCGTAATACGAGATATGGCACAAGTCAATACATTCCTGTATCAATGGGTTTATGTAGCCACATAATAAATATTTACAATCATGTTTTACTAACTTTGTTTTGTTTCAGGGTGCGAGCCTTGCTCACATGATGGCCGGATTCCTCTCCAAAGATACGCTGAACGATGGTTTCACTTCGTATCTTAAGGAGCATAACCATGACAACGTTGTGTCTGACGACTTATTTGCGGCGCTGACAGAGGTTCGTTGTCTTCAGACTACAACAGAATAGTTCTGTCCTGTGAATAAATTTGTAACATATCTTATGTACACTGTTTTCTGTTTGTAGGCCGATAAAGGTGGCTCAAACTTGAACGTTAAACTCATTATGGACACGTGGACACTACAGATGGGATACCCAGTTGTAACAGTGTGGCGTGATGCGAATACCGCGACGATTCTTCATACGGATCAACATCACTTTTTATTAGACCCGGATGATGAACCATCTTCCAAATATGGAGATTTAGGGTAAGCAGGGTTACGAAGGTATATTACAATACGGCAAATGATTTCTACTCGAGTTGTTACGATGCTTCTACATGCACTTGTATTCCAGGTATAAATGGTACGTACCGATTACGTACACTCATGGATCGGAGCAGGAATTTAAAAGTCCTATTCTGAAATGGCAAAACAGAGGTCCAGGTGAGTCCGCCACGTGGGTCATGACTTTTGAAATGTACATATAAATATAATTGTACATTTTCTTTGTTTTGTTTTTTACTATGAATGTTGACATTGTACCAAACCATTATTTTTTATTTCTCTGTAAACATTACCAATGAGTTATTATAATCTTCCCTATAGCCAGCATTGTACTTGACGGAGCCAATGATAACGACTGGATATTATTGAACATCAACCAGACTGGCTCTTATCGTGTTAATTATCAAAATGATGATTGGGATAGATTAGCAAACCAGTTGAAAGAAGACCATCTAGTAAGTGTCGCTTTGGACTGATGATTGTTGTTAAAAAAACTATTCATTTAAGTTACTAAGACTGGACCATCTTACACAAAATATTAATGCATAGCAATATGCATTATAATAATACACAGTCGAGTTTGAAAACTTAGAATACCGGTTTGGGCAAAGTGAGTATAATAACTTTAGTACGTATAACTGCTTACCATGGACACTGTTATTATAGGTGATCCCAGTCAGAAGTCGTACGGCCCTTATAGCGGATTCTTTTACTATATCCCATGGACATCAGTTGGACCAAGTGATTGCCTGGAAAATAACGGAGTATATGCAAATGGAATTGGAGTATAATCCGTGGAGGGCGCTGACAGATCACATTGGCACCACTAAGCGAATGCTGAAGCGAACCACGGGATATGGCAACTATGAGGTATTTGTATATATTTATTCTTTTGGTTTTCTTTATTGGTTTCTCTACGTCCCTTAGTAGCACCTTTCTATGAGCCTATATAAATACACAAGGTTATTGACTGGGCATGAAGAGTCTTTTAACATTTGGATAAATGGCGATACTCGGGGCTACGAAGAAATTACTGAGAATCATCAAATACAAAAATATGATTAAATTTAGGTATGGTGGTCGCAATATCATTGAATATACTCGATCTTAATGAGCCCAATATGCATACGTACATTCATTATGGGAATCTGTAAAATAAAACAACTGAACTTATACGTATAGTGCCCCACATATACTCTCGAAAAAATGTACACGATCATTTCAGAAAGCTAAACTATTGATTAACAGTAATAAAATATAGTGATAGACGTGAGTAGCATTTTACTGAGCTGTTATGCAATTTCGTCAATGGTGCTTTATTTACTGTCACCATGATCCGTTTGATTTTCAATTTCAGAGATATGTAAGAAGACAGATCACTCCTATGTACAATGAACTGGGATGGGACTTCAGTTCAGATGAATATCTGCCTTAGTAAGTGACAGTTTGATGTTATGCAATATCGTTATTTCTTAGGGAATTCAATTAGGGGTTTTCATAAAAAATCTGCCTTCACATCCATCACGAGAGATTTTAAAAAAATAGACGTATGTTATAGTATAGTCAAAATCAACCTTTCACAATTTGTCAACAGTATGAACAGAATAAATGCTATCAACACTGCATGCGACCATGGCAATCTTCATTGTATTGATGAATCACTAAGACAATATCACAGCTGGATGAACACGAGTGATAACACGTGAGTATATAACTTAAATATTCAAGTATACAATTAATTATCTTCCGTGAATAAATTGAATATTAATGCAAAATGGAAATACCAAAATACCCAAATCATATTCAAATTCATATTCATTTAGCAAATTTACAAGTCCAAGAGCACAACACAATTAAAAAGTACTCTCATTAAAAAAAATGTTAAATCTGTTTTGTGGCATACTACGTAAATAACCCAGGGTATTCAACGTACGATTATTGGGTAATGTACATGATATGCCTGTTTATTTACAGAATAAGAGATGATACAAAGTACACAGTGTACTGTACTGCTATCAGGTACGGAGGCGAACGAGAGTGGGAGTTTGCAATGGAAATGTATGAAAGTCAAATTACCCCAGCCACAGAGAAATCTATTTTACAGTCGGCGATGGCATGTACGCGAATAACATGGCTCGTGTCAAGGTAGGTTTAGAAAACATCAAAATAACGCAGATTCGGACGTGTGACTAAAAAGTACACAGCACTGTGAAAAGCAAACTCATCGAACAGCAATTTAAATGACACTAGAAACATTGGGTTCCATGCTTTATCAATTGCGACGCGTGTTGTAAGTACGAAATACCATTTTCATAGCAGTCAAACCAACGTTTTCGTATATATTCACAGTGTGGATATGTATTTTGGTATATTCAGTTGCGTTAACAGTTATAAAATATTATACGGAAATGATATAATTTGCCAAACTTCGTGTTTTATCCGCACAATCAATTGCTCACGTTTGCGAGTTCTAACCCAAACGAAATAAACAAGGCCGCCATAGCTTAAGCGGTTACTATCCCAAAACTGCTTCCCAAGCTGAGCATTCATACAAGTAACAAGTATTGTTGATGATGTATATCACCTATGGCTAACACCTTCACGTGTGGAACATGGGGGGGTGAAAGAACTTGCTTGACTTATAGGTAGTAGTGTCGGTGTTCTATTGTAATTATCATTTCGCTGTGAAATTTTTGTATTCATCAGATATATTGAATATTCGGATACCGAGGGATGGATAAGTGAAGGAATAGATAATGCCAGGAGGAACTCACCTGTCGGTTATTCCATTGCATGGTCCTATATTGAAGACAACTTTGCTGATTTGCTCGAAAGGTAAATTCAGAATATGTTTTGCAAATTCAGAAACATTGCTGGTACATATTGAAGTGATGCCAGTTTATATTTGCTACGTTGTTTTCAATGGGGTTGCACTTGCTCGAGGTTGCACGATTTTTGTGCCGCCGTTAGTTGTCTTCTGCATATTCAATGTGTTTGTTTCTTGTTATTCTTTAGAGATGGAAACTCTTCATACAGCATAGTGTGGGGTTTCTCGGAAGATATGAACACACAACGTGATAAGAATGAGGTGAGAAATTTTCTTACACTCAACTGTTCTTTATGTTCCGGGGAACGAATACTGGACAAACTTGTCAGTGTGGCGATTTGTTACGTAGTTGTGATATTATTGACCTGTAATTCTTTTTGAAACCCCAGTTTCGGTACTCATTGAGGCCAAGAAGTTTGCAAGTATAGAAGACAATTCCGAAAAATGGTCACTTACATTGTAATAAAACTGATGAGAACAATTACACAAGTAATCTAGCCTTTTTGTGTATTTCAGTTGACCATGTTTGGGGTAGCGTATGCCGACATGCCGACGGCAGCAGCTTCTGGATTTTACGACGCCCTTCACCAAGTTGATTTGAATATAGCGTGGATGGAGAGAAATTACGTACAACTATATTCGTGGTTCATGGAAGTTACAAAGAATGTGTAGAGTGTCGTGTGAATTGTTTACAGTCAGACATCCTCCACGTCGGAATTGGGGAAAACTTGGCAGTACCACAAAGTGATGTTTAACACATGTTTATTTCGTTGTCCGACACTACGCATCACGTTTCCGACTATATTGATTAGTGTATCGCATGATAATGACTATGTACTGTATTTATAAAAAAAAAATCTACCTCCAATATAACATACTTAAAGTGATATTAATTTGTTTTTAGGAGTTAACTATTTGTGTTGCTATCTGCGAATTTCAGAACAATTGGTTAAGGAATATTGAAACTATTTTGAATTGAATCATTTATTGGGTGCTAAGAAATAATATATAGTAATAATGTTTGCCAAATTACATAATATTTCTGATAAAGTTGTAATAATTCAGTGTGTTAAAAAGTAGTTTATGTTGCAAAACTAATGTTGTAAAATAAAAACAATATTTATGTTTTGTGGTTAAATTAAGTTTGTTCTTCATTTTAAAACTACTCAATTAAGAAAGGAATACATGATGAAAACACTTTTTGTCAGTATTTTTGAAGAAAGCCTCTCGGTTTTGTATATTTACCCATTTTATCACGTGGAAAAGTGTGTCAATCGAGAATATGTTTAAAGTAAGAGTTTATTATCACAACAATTTGAAAAGTGCTTTTACGACAGACAAATTTTGAAACGTTTTTTTTTTCACAAACAAACACGTATTAAAAAGTGTTTATTAAAACATCGCTACACATATTCGACAATCGATAATGTTATCCCTGAGTTGTCCCAAGAACGAAGGAGATAATATTATCCCTCAGTAATCCCACGGAAAGAAGAGATAATATTATCCCCGAGTGGCCCCAACAACAAAAGAAATATTACCCTGAGTTGTCCCAAGAACGAAGGAAATAATAATATCCCCGAGCTGTCCCAAAAACGAAGGAGATAATATTTTTCTTGAATGGTTCCAGTAACAGCAAGTACGTGATGTCATGAATATACCATTACACATTGAAATTTACCACATATGGAGGTCAGATAGTTAGATCAAATATTTACCGCAATGCTTAAATCCATGAATGTCTTATATTATCAACCAACACTTAAATGAAAATGTCCCCTTAAAAGAACTCAGTGTTTTTATTTTGAAAAAAACAAACATGTGTTTACGATGTATCCATCTTCATCAAAAAGTGCTATAATATTACTGTGACAAACACTTTTCTAAAAAATATTAGGACACTGCTGTTATTATTGTAACATGACGTGTTTTAAAATATAATACAATATTTTTAGTTTCATATATTCCCGAACTTTTTTGCAGTCTTTTTTTTTCATTGAAGATATACACACTTCATATACTTAGTAACGTCACAGTGTACTTATTTGACCCACTAAAAATGAGTTTTAATCGAAAATTGCCTAAAAGCACATACTAGTATTATTCAAACACAGTACAGTATAAACTCCTCTAAGATTGTTTTTGAACACGTGATTTGGTTTGATGGATAAGTGATAAACCCATCGAAATCCATGTTACGATAATGGGGTTTATTACAACCTGTGAGAAGGTGATGAGGGCGCGTTGTCGAGAGTGTGCTCAAGTCCCGGCAATCGTGAGGGAAATTTAGGGGAAAGCAGCCATAAAAACGGGTCTATTCATTGCCCTATACCCAATATTGAAGACGCTGATCGGATTTGGGTGCCAGATATCGTACGGGTAATTTTACAACTATTCGTTAATAGTAGTTTTTCGCCCTGAATTTGCAAATGTGGACAGTATTGATCGGATTTGAAATTTTAGAAGAAAGCAACTATAAAACGAGTGTATTTAATCTCTCGCCTATATAACCAACATTAACAACGTTGTTTGGATTTGAGTGCCAGATATCGTGAGGGTAAAATTGGAGGAAAGCAACTACTAGACGGTTATAGCAGTCTAATTTGCACAATATTGATCGGATTTGAAAGCCTTATGTTACTGAGATTTTAGGTATTATACGTACACAGTGGACATTGTCCGTTAAAAAGATCTCGTAGAGGTTACTTTTGAGAAAGATTCCTATCTATAGGGCAAGGATGCCAGGTTAGATAAATTAATTTGTATTTGTGAATGTCTTTAAACCAATAAATGTGAGAAATCGATTGAAAGTAGTTATTCTCTGACCTGTATTGTGACCCGTTGGTGTCGCTATGGTGAATTTAATGAACCGGATATGCGGATTCGTTGTCCTCTGTCAAGAAGTGAGTATGTTTTCTATTCTATTCTATTCTATTCTATTCTATTCTATTCTATTCTATTCTATTCTATTCTATTCTATTCTATTCTATTCCATTCTATTCTATTCTATTCTATTCTATTTAAAATTACTCACTCACTACTAACAATATTTTAATGAGTTGAAATGCATGGGTTTTTTTAATACGGAATATGTTATTATTGGTATCTTCATGTGCTTGTATTTATTCAAGCCTAGCCTAGTGATGACAATTAAATATGTTGATTTTAAATGTTTCAGTGATAAGTGATCCTCCCATTTTGAGTATTCAAAAGCAGCGTGACAACCTTAACAGAGGAAAATGACCAGTTCCTTACAATGACATGACTCGTTACAGCGTTTCAACCTCTTGAATCTTTGACCCAATATGCAATAAATGACTTGAATTTACGACTTGTTTGCAAAAAATGCTTTGCCCGCCCGCCCTGGAAGGTTATGTCAATACGTACAATACATTAACTGAACTATCAGAAGAAACTACGTTGAAAGCTTGAAAGAAAATATCAACTCGTTGAAACCGTGACACCCAAAAGGTAGTACCACCTCATACTGGACTCGAGGATATTCTCTGGAGGACTAAATGTCTCATCATTCCTTCATCCCGTTTTTGGATTCACTGCAGCGAAGAATTATCAAAATCGAATCAAATCACGAGTATTAATTAATACTTCTAAATGTAAATAACCACTTGTTGATTGATTCATCTCGATTACCACTACATAATTCTGTTTGCGTCAGTTTAACATGTGATGCGAATACTAGCTATTCAAGCTATCTATCTGCTTTATTAATATCTCTGTTCACAATATACGTTCGTCACATGATTAGATGTAATTTGACTTATCGGACCGCGTTTAGTATTTATTATCCGAACATTCTTCGGTTGTCACCATAACATAGCTTTGTCCTTTTTACTATCTTTTACTATCAATAAATTAATGTTGAGTATATTGGCACGGTTTGCGTTTGGAACCTATTATTTGCAGGGGACGAGAGGCCATCGCCGTAAGCACATACGTTGGTACATTGGCCGGGCACGCTATTCACTGAAAAGTAGTATATTAAACAAACATGTGGCGAATGGCGAAAAAGAAACCTCTTCATTTATTTAATTAGTTAATAAAACATATACGCGCGGAAATAAATTTTAATTTTAATACACCTGTACAGTTGTTTATTTGAGTCTATCACCAGTTGCACAGCCATCACACCTGAGAGATGTGCACCTCAATAGTGACCTAATTGTATTTTACAACTACGATGTATGATTTATGTTACAGGTGCTGGCATATTTGCAAAGAATAAGGTCACAGTTTACGGGTGGGTACACACAAAGTCAATTCGGCACTGAAAGAAATATGACATTTATGAAATACTATATACATAGTAGACGTACAGACATGATCGTCAGTTATGATAAGCGTGAATATTATATGTATGAGTGTACGGCAATTTTATATTTTCTGATTATCGCCGTGCAGTACATGTACATGTACAATAACTTGTAATCCGAAGTTTGAACGCATACTTACTATTTTGATTTGAAACCGAAAATGACCAATGCTTGTATTGATTGCTACGCAATGTACAGTGTGTAGGTATGGCGTCAGTGGCGAGCTGTATTGTTAGCTGATAGGTTTAACACAAACATAAACATATCGATGCACGTGCACACAAACATGAACATGATCCAAGCTCAGTTACATGTTAAATATGTTAATGAAATATTTGAGAATAATTTACAACGTAACATCTGATTTTCAAATAACCTACTAGAAACAGTGCGTTTTTATTTAACACTACAACTTTATTCTTAATAGATTTATGAGTTGCTATGGCAATGTTTTACTATTATCTATCACAAAATTGATCGTTTTGTGTAAACCAGGCCTAAAAGTAAACGAGTTGTCGAAAACGGGGAGTATATTTTTAGTGTGAAACCGGCCTTACAGAAATGCACTATACGGACGCGTAATTGATTACTGAGTGATTTATAACGTATTTGCTCACGTCAGATAGAAGTGTACGTCTAGATCTTGCCGCGCACCGAACACTCGGCCAAGTATTCTTTTACTCGTGCAAAGGCTGTGGGACATCTCTCTGTATAAGTCACCATGATTACCGGCGACGACTCTTACGAAGAAATCAAAAAGCCTAAAAGCGGCTACTTTATCAGTAAGAAAGTTTTAGCAGTTATCCTCCTTGTGTTCTCTGCGGTACTTATTGGCGCAGTGCTTCTTGCTTATTATGTGCCGTCCTGTGAGAAAACTGTTACCGTAGTGCCTACGGCTGAGCCGGTCAAGATGCCAGTAACAGAGAAACCCAAGGAGGATGATCGAGGTGTATGGGACGGAAGTTTGCCAGAAACTCTTAAACCGTCTAATTACAAAGTTACCATCAAACCTTATCTAGACGAAGATGATAAAGAAAAGCAGTTCACTTTCGACGGTAAGGTTGTGATCACCTTCGAAACATTGAAATCCACCGATGTCATAATCTTGCACAAACACAAGACGTTGACGATCGATGACAAATCCATTACCGTTACACAAATCACCACAAATCCACGTGCCATCTCGATCAAAGAAATCAAAATTACTGAGGTATACGAGTTCTTTGAAATCTACCTTGAGGAGGGTGGACTGACCATGGGGGAGAATTACACTATTGAAATCGAATCGTTCAGCGGAACATTGCACCATAGTGACTTTCAAGGACTGTACCTGAGTAACTACACAGAAAACGGTAATGAAACGAGGTACGTACATATAAGAAATATGGGTTGTTTCGTGCTACATATAATCCGCATACCACGGCGTTTTGGTTGGAGTATGTTGCAATCTACACAGTTTAAGATATAGGGCGAGGCAGCACCTACAACTTTGCATTGTGAGTTAATATTTCATACCAAATCGATCTAAAGCGAGCATATTTAACTACTCACTATCGATAAATTAATCCCTGTTTGATATTTAGATCTGGCCATGTTGAAATTGAGCACTGTCTTGTTCGATTAAGGAAATATTCTCTCATTGGTCGTAACGACTAATATGACATCAGCCAATCGTGACCTTATGTGTGGAACACATACCTGATTATGACTAGATATTCATGAATGCTGGGTAGTCAAACAAACCACTACATTTCGCAACGATATTTATACGAATACTTTCAGCCTTTTGAGAGTCAGTTTATCATGTATTGCATGAGTTAGCATACTGTGCACTTTGCATCACATACATCTTGATGTTTGTAGCGCCCCCATTATGAGCAATTATTTTTAATTTTGTTGTGGCTGACCTGTTGTTTTTGTGTCCAACTATTGACTGTATGCGCGCCATTTGTTTTTATGGTTGACCCCTTTTATTTTCATCATAGATTTGTTAGTTTCCTGTCAATTTCCAATGACATTTTTAGTTTCCCGGCATTCAAATAATAGTATATGGGGTTGTCTGCTTAAATCCAATAAACATGCTAAATTGCTGGCTTTATAGTTTACCTGTAGGATTTTTATTTTCACAATTTGATATGAAGCTTCTCCATTGTGAGTGTGGTTGTAAAGAAATATTATATTTGTAGAAAACAATCACCAGTCCAAATTTCAATACAGTAGAATTGGTTTAACCTTACTATCAGAAATATTTTACTTCACTAGGTCACTTTAATTAACCAAGCCATGACTTGTCAAGTATTATGATATATTATATATTTACGATTTGATTTAGTGATGTGTCCATCACTCAAAACAGAAACATACCCCATCTCAAGGACAAGTACTATAATATGGTAAAGAAATATGTCACATCTCGTTAAACTGGTTTGTAGTATTTACAAACTGCTAGGTGTCGACGTGAGTTAGACATGCATAATTTTAGAGATTACATGCCACCGATCTTCCGGCGCAACACGTGTTCGTAAGAACTACTTACTTATTTGAAAGTAAAGACACAAGTCTACGGAAGGTTAAGCACATATCAAGCATACAATGCATATCTATCGTTTGGAATGAAATTTCTTGATTATAAATAATTAAATTATTTTCTCTAATTACAAAATACAACGCCAGAGTCTGAGAATAAACTACCCTAGACTGGTACATGCATGGTGCAAAGGTAAATTGTACGGGTATACAAGCACACATTAACAAAATAGTTTACTAGTATTCATTTTGGATCAACGATGTACAGTTGCTCGTTGCTCGATAAAAAAGATTTGCTTTTCGCATTTGTCTTTTCAAAACATGTTTTTATTGAAATAAATGGGATTCACACCTGATTGAATAAGTTGTGATTCAGTCTAGAATTGTTCAGGAAATACATTTTTAAACGATGGGTTGGTGTTAGTATTCTAACGTGCATGTAAATAGACAACAATGCACTGTTTCCCGAAACGGAGATTACAATGCATTATTTTAGTAAAATCTTCCAAAACATGTGTTAAAGATGTGAATTAGGAGACTGATACTAATTTTTGTTTTCTTTTATGCAAATGATCAATCAATGATAAATTTGGTAAGCCATCTTAAAGCGGGAGGGTCGTCACCTGCGCACGCGCGAGTCCCAAGCGACGAAAACAACTCATGCTAAAAACGCAAAGGCTCATAGGTAGACGCTTGTTTGCAAACAATGACACGCTATGGCCTTCTGACGCATGCGCAGGTGATGACTCCCCCGCTTTAAAATGAACGTGCACTGATTTCATGCAGTATGCATCATTTCGATGTAAATATGCTTACGTGTTGAATAATTGATTCCTTATTGAGACCTACATTTACTTCTCGAATATGTGATTATGATATTCAAATCGGCTAAAAAATTAACAAGTTGAATGAAGTGGTTTTCTGTATTCTGTTGAATTAGAGGGCACGCCTCCAAACTAATTATTTTGCCACCGGCCGGACATCCTCACTTAGCCAGTAGTCACTTATACATATTTAATTATGCAAAATTAAAACACCGCAATGCTCAGCTGCATATATTTTGAGACATTGACATTATTAAAAGTATACATAGCTTATCTTGACCATGACGTTTTTTTTATTTATTTATTGCATTAATATATATCAATGTCATGTTGAAATGCACTATAAACTTCGTTGATTGGATTGTTTCTAACAGCAATTACAACAATTGTTTTACTGTTAGTCATATATCATTTTAATATATTCTCTAAAATTGGGTGTTCCTAGTTCAATTCTTTATTAAATCAAATTTACAGTAATTGAAACATGTCTCTTGGTACCCGAACCTAGATCTGCTATCTGTCATAAAGTGTTCCCTAATGGTGGTAACATTAACCAGTTTTACCTTGTTCGCAAGTAATTACATTTCACACTGAATTGACTGTGATTTCTTTCACGTAGACATCTCGCTGCTACTCAGTTCGAAACAACCAATACCCGCCGAGCATTTCCGAGTTTTGACGAACCCGATTTAAAAGCATACTTCGAGATGACAATTATCCACAATAATAAACGAGTTGCTCTATGTAATATGCCAGTCAAGCAGACATCCCTTTATGAAGGCAGCGAAGACTGGAACATCACTGAGTTCGAGATAACAAATGTGATTATGCCAACGTACTTGATAGCGATGGTAGTGGCTGATTTCGAGAAAGTTGAGGACACAACAGACACTGGCGTTAAGGTAAACGATTATGTACTATGGTGTGCCTATTTTCGATATTCTTCATTTTGAATTATTCCACATATTTCTCTATATCAGTCTCTTTCTGCTGCCTATATGCATATGGACATAGGGCAATGCACGAATGCACAACACAATGTGTTATCTGACTAACAACACGAGAACCACACCTGACGATTATACTGGCCAATCATGTTCAATTATTTGTGTTGATATATGTCGCAGGTGTACAACGTCATGATTAAAGCGGGGGTCGTCACCTGCGCATGCGCGGGAATTGAGTCCGAAGCGACGATAACAACACACGC